GTCRATAAAGGATTGCGCAATATCTGGTTCAGCAAATCAACTCTTTAAAGCAATGGTGTAGTAGAAGAATCCTTGAAAGGTAGAAGAAAGATGGTGGACCTTGGTATGGCTGTAGCTATTGCTGTTTGAGCCAGAAGCTTGATGTTTGACCTGCACCTTTTTATTTATTCTTCTTGAAAATCCTCTGATGTATACCTATTTATAGATGAAGGAAGTGGCCAGGGTGGAGTTGGTGTCTTCAGAGCTTGCTCCAGGAGAGGACTTGCCGTGTCCTAATTAGGTCAGACTGGTCTCTCTTTTTTCTATGTTTACAGCTGTGCGAGTCACCACCCTGGCATCCTTCTGGGTATCAATTTTCAAAATAAGAATTTTTCAGAGAAGCTATTTTTCTTCATATATGGAGATCTTTCAGTACTACTTTGGCTGCTTTGTGTGGTATTATTCTACATGTTGGTAGAAAAGACAACAGTGGCCAGTCAGGACAGCTGCTTTGCTCCACAGCCACTGTTGTTGGCTTTGATCCATCTCCAGCCACAGCAGGGAGGGCATGACCCTGCCCCCCATGCACAGATTAGGGGACAAGTATTCTGAGGAAAGAAGTAGATGATAGGGATGTATCACCTTCTTATTCAAACTTTGAACAGAAAATTGCAAACATGCATGTTGGCTATGCATGAGCAGATAACTACGGAAATACCAAAGGTTTCATGTAGCAAAACAAAAAAATACCAAAGAGATCTGACCTTTGTAAAACTCACAGCCACTGAGTTTGCCTTTTAGCCCCAAAAGTCAAATGATTCCCTGGATTTTGACTCTCATGGTATTCTTTTTCTGGCTACACTCAGGCTTGGATAATGTTGAGTTTTTAAGGCAGTTCCTCTAATCAATGACAAGACTGTATTGAGCTCTGCACCAAATGATTAATAGGTGCAGGAAGCATGCAGAGAGAACAGTTGGCTCGTTGATCTAAAGCCTGCATTGATACTGATCGTTGAGTGCCAATTGATACTATTTGTCAAAATTATTGTTATTAAATTCTAACAGTAAAACTTATTCAGATGAACTGAAATTTAAGAGTTAAGTAACTTACTCAAGGCTATTCAATAAGCAAGGAATAGAGCCAAGATGCCAATCTACATTGTCTGACTTTCAAACCCCAGGGTGTCACCAGCCACATTGGAGAAGCAAAAAGGAGCTGGTCCTGATGAAAGTTCTCTGGACAGTATTAGAGAGTAAGATCAAGGAGGGAGAAGTAGTTGGAAACTGAACAGGAAGTTGTTTACCAAGGACAGCTCTCAGCTTGTGTTCAAAGATGGCCAGGCTGGAAGACCATGTAGACTACGAACCAAACCCTTCATTGCTTAGATCAAGAGTCTAGGAAGTCAGTTGACTTCTCTAAGGCCCTGTATTTGGCTGGTGAAAGACCTAAGGATTCAACCAGCATTTGGGGGCTTAGAGTCCAGGTTTTTCATTTGCTTTTTTCCTGACAGTGGCCTTGGGCAAGGTCAGAAGAACAAGATCATCAGCCCAAATTTCCTGTGAGGCACAGAAAAGATGTTAGGGAGGCTCAGCCTGTGGGACAGCTACTTACCCACACAGAAGCCAATCTCCGCTTCTCTGTCCCCATCCCCATCACCAGGCCCAGAGCCCAGGGATAAAGGCTAACCTGATAGAAAAGTTGAGAAACAATAAAGTGCTCCAGGTTCCATTGAAGAAGATAAGGTCGCAGCATTGATTCAACTTGGGAGAAAGCTCAAAGTGAAAAGTCCTGATGCAGATTCTAATATACTCCAGGCCCTGTCATCAGAGACTCGACAGACAACAGGATCATTAACCTGAAATGAGATTAGTCTTCTTAGAAGTTATTTTTTAAATATTTATTTTAGTTGTAGGTGGACACAATACCTTTATTTTATTTATTTATTTTTATGTGGTGCTAAGGATGGAACCCAGTGCCTCATGCGTTCTGGGCAAGTGCACTACCACTGAGCTACAACGCTGACCCTCATTAGAAGTTATTATAGGCAAATTCTGTAAATCTGTGAGATTAGAGAACATATAAGAATGTGTAAGTCTCGGTCCCATTCCACTGAATGGAGCCTCCGCTGCCATGGATGAGATCGAAAGCCTTCGCAATATGCTGGGCCCGTCGGCCTCAGATTGGTCTATTTTGATCCTCAGCAAGCAGCAGATGCGGGAGCTGGAGGCACACTTCCTGAGGGACCCCTTTCCATCCCACGGTACCCTGGTGGCCCTGGCCTCCTGCCTTGCCCTAGAGGAACCACATGTGAAGAATTGGTTTAGGGTGCAACAGAAGATATACCCAAACCCTGAACCAGGCTATCAGCCATTTGCACGACAACTCAGCCGGCTCATCCTGGGCACACTCAACCTGGGCACACTCAACCTGGGCAGGCCCATCCTGGTCTAGCTTCTGTTGTACATGCCCATCCTGCAAAGCTATCCACTACCACAGCCCAGAAGACCCAGAAGGTTCTCCATTCAGGCCCAGGCCTGTGGGAACCTCCGTGGCGGTGCCCAGGAGAGTGCCTGGCCCCTTAGGGGAGAGGATGAGGAACTAGAAGCTGCCTTGAAGAGACTCTGCACTGCAGAGCCTGAGGAAGGTGACCTTGAAGACCAGACAAATCAGGTCCAGGAGATTTCTGAGTGCATGGGGGTTCTGCACCTGCCCCATTCCACAGGCCCCACAGGTCCTCACTCTGGCCACTATTCCATCTAATTGATGTCCCCACCTGTCATTTGAGTCACCTAGGAGTGTCTGGGTCTCCAGTCTAGGAGTGGAATGAGTGTTCCTGGGTGCATTTCCTTCCCTTGATGCTGCGCCTGCCCCTAGCCAATTTTATCACTATCTTTCCTAATTCATGGGGCTCTTGGTCTACAACCCAGTGCAGCAGCTGCCTGCATCTCCAGGAATGAAGGACCTTGGCTCTCCCACAAGGATTTTCCCACAGTCCTCTGCTGACAGCCACACACACATCAGATCTTCATCCCCTACCTGCATCTTTTAGATACCATATCCAATACAATTTCATCATTTTGAAATAGTTTGGAGCTTTGTCTTAATTTAAGTATTTTTTCCTCTTATTTCCTTTTAGTCTTTGCTTTGTTACTTGTTTGAGGTTATTTTTCTGTTTGATTTTCCTCAATTTTCAATAAATTTTCTACTTTTGATTCAGTGGGGAAAAAAAAGAAAGGAATGTGTAAGTCTCTCCTTTAGCCACTGCCAAGGCTGGGGATCTGAATGCCCTGTCCCCAGCTGCCCTCATCCTTCCCCTCTCTTCTCCATACCAAAGCCAAAGGTGACCTTTCCAGTTCATAGCTTGGTGATGCCCTTCCCTCACTCCCTGCCTCCAAGTGACCTTCAGTATAAATATCAAACTGCTGGTCCCAGCACAAAAGCTCCTGAGGATTCAACATCCCTGTGCCTCCAGTCCTACCCCCTGCCATTAGAAAAGAATATTTACACACGCACATTCTCCCCTTCCTGCTCCAGAGCTCTTCCTGGAGTTCATCTTCAAGCCACACAGCTCTGACTGGATCACCCCCAGAATCAGTGCTTTTGTACCTACTGATAGGCTCTCCCACTCTGTCCCCTTTCATTCCTCAGCCTCTCATTGTCCTTCATGTGTTTGTCCTTCCAATTCTAGGAATCTATGCTAAAGAAATACTTGCACACGTGCACCAAGATATATGTAGAGATGCTCATTGTTTCATTTTTTGCATTAGAGAGGATATTTAAAAAGCCATCAGTGGGTTAAAATAACTTATGTCCATCTATTTTGTGATTACCGTAGAGCTGGAAAAAAATAGTGGCAGGACCAGTCCAGATGAATATGGAAAGACCACCATGGTATGTTGTACTGGAGAGTTCCCAGGTCAAGGTGACACAGGCTCTTACCTAGTGGGTGACCTCTCCTATTACCCCAGTTAAGCATCTAGAGTAGGGGCTGGAAGAGGGGGTCAGAAAGGAGTTTAATATCAGTGGACCCCAGATTCCTCAAAAACCAAGGTCTCCCTTAACAAACCCCATGCTGAGTGATCAAGTCATTTCTGATAGAAACTGATACATATTTGTGGGCTGTTCTTTCCTAATGAAAATTCAACTTTGTCACTTTCTTTGACTAAATCAGAAAACATTTGTGATTTTTACAAAGTCATACTGGACTCAGATGAGTCCAGTACAGCTATGTTCCTGGGCATATTGGATCAGGAGTCAGAAAACCTGCAGATTTTTAATTTACCATTGAATAGATCTCTAACTTATTTTTATTTACCTTTAAGACCCTTCCTTTCCTCATGCATGCATTGAGGGAGGTTGACAAAATAATCTCTAAGGGCTCCTTGTTGCAAGGTTCTATTGGGCTATTACTCTTGAGGCTTGTGCAATGTTAATAAGAATGATAATTGCAACTTTTATATTCTAACCTCCTTATGCRTATTAACCATCTTAAATCTCATAACAACTATATGAAATAAGTACTTCATCTCCACGTTATGGAATAAGACACCAACATCCACAGATTACTAGATTGTCCAAAGTCACACAACTATAACATTGTGAAGCAACAACCTAAGTCCAGGCATTGCAACTCCAGAATCCATGATTCTAACCATTGTGTTAGATTGCAATTAACAGTAACCCTATGTCTTGCTGCACAATTTAAGGATCTATACCAAAAAAAAAAAAGTGTCAAGAAAACAAATCTGAAGAGCCAATATGAAAAATATAGATAGATGTGGGGAAATTATCTGTAAAGCCAAAATGCAAAAGGCACCCCAAAGTTCTACTTAATTACGTCAGCATTTTGATAACATATCTCTTCTATATACCATAAAGTTAACAACAGCTACATACTTCTGTGTAACAACAAATGCAAGAAAAAAAGATGTCACTGCTTCTGCATTTGTAGGCAATTTTTATCTGAAAATAACACCATCAGGTACACATGGCATTGATGCTTTCAATTTTAATTTCACAGATGAAAGAGCTTGGTGTCATCTTCTACAACTGCAGCTGCCTGGTCCTAGATTTACAAAGGATATTTGCTTTATATAGTTCATTAAAATTCAAAAGCAGAGTACCTCAGACCTGGTCCAAGAGGCTCTATGGAGTCTACGACAATGAAAAGAAATTGCAACTTCAGCTGAACGACACCAAATCTCAAGCATTTGTGTCGGTGAGTTGTCTGCCCTCTTTCTCCCCCTGCCCCCCGCTTCCCTCTCTTTCTTCCTCTAAAGGCTCTTTATTAAGTGTGAATGTTTCAGTGTGATCTTACATTGAACAAAAAAGAATTAGATTAGTTCTACTGCATCCCTCGAGGAGTTCAAATGTGTCCTYTCGTACCCTCTGTCACATGCTGTCCCCAGTAATAACAATAACACATCTTAATAATCATTCCTGGTTTCTGATACTTTGGGTTGCCTGATTTGGTACCCACAGTCATTCCATAAGGTAGACATGCAATTGTGAGTATTCTACAAATAAAGATGTCCACACATAGGAAGTCCATTTTGGTCTTTTGACACTAAAGCTGATTAGCCTGTTTTCCATGCCCTGTTTAAATTATTTTTAGATGTTTTATCAGAAGAACTTTTTTTTTTTTACACCAAACACATTCACATTTATTTTCTTTCTTTTAAGCAAATGACAAACACCCAGTTTACCAGCTTTTTTAAATGTAAGTTTAACATGACATATTTAAACAATTGTCAAAACTTTACTAAGTTGCCAGCATTCATGCACAACTAGAAAACATCCTCAAATTTATATTAAACCAGAAATGTCTTACCATTAATGCATTAATAACTTTCATTACTAAATACTGAAAAAAAGATTATTACTATAGAAGGCTCATCCTGGCACTCAAGATGTATGAACATCTCTATTTTTAAATATTGTTTAATTATTCTTTAATTAAACAAATCTTTCCATTTGTTTCATACAGATAAATAAAATTTTCAAAGATCCAGTATCATTGTGGAGTTCCAAAAAGGTTATTGGGTTATGGAAAAAAAACAAAAAGGACAGTGCTTGAATTAGAAGTAAATCTTCACTATTCCCCTAACAAAATGATTCCATTATTATTATTATTATTATTATTATTATTATTATTATTATTTTATTGGTTATTCAAAACATTACAAAGATTGCAGAATCACATCGGTTACACATCCACATTTTTACCTAATGCCATAATAGTAACTGTTGTATTCTGCTACCTTTCCTATCCTCTACTATTCCCCCTCCCCTCCCCTCCCATCTTCTCTCTCTACCCCATCTACTATAATTCATTTCTCTCCTTATTTTTTCCCATTCCTCTCACAACCTCTTAT